AGCTGTAAGAGAATTAAGCGGAACCATTTCACATGTCGGAAGACGCACGAGTTGTTGCTTGTGGGAAGATTCAATCCATACTTCACGGGTTCGGGCACGAAAAACAAGTCCATATCGAGTTTGCCACGTCAGGGAAAAAATGCATGTAGATAATGTAGAAGGCAGCACATTGAAATTATCGGTAAAGGAGTGTTTGCCAATTGAATAAGTAAGAGAAATAATGCCGAGAGTCTGTAAGTGAACTCCATTGGCGACGCATACAGGGATACGAATAGAGCTGTCAATAGCTGATAAGGGAATATGCAAACGATCGAGGAGGGCGGTCGAAATAACATCGACAGCAGCACCGCCATCGAGAAGAGCTGTAAAATGATAAGGGTCAGCATCAGGAGAAATAGATGAACAAGTCACGGGAAATTTGATGAGATCGGTGACCAGCGATGCTGAATTGTGCAGAACGGAAGGGGACGGAGTTTCAGCTGAGAAGATAAAATGAGAACAAAGCTGGGGCTCCGTATAAGAAGAAATCATGCTCATCGTCGAACTGCAATAACCGAGAGCATGACCTGCGGTACCCTATTCCTGAGGCGGAGGATCAGCAGGAGGCTGAGCTCTTGCTGACGAGGACAAAGAGACTGTCCCAGGAGGAGCAGAAGCGGATGCGACTGCAGGGGAATGCGTGACGGGAGAGCCCGGGTTAGGAGCTGGAGCACCATTCTGAAGGAGAGCCGTGATGGCATTGACGATGGCGGCTTGACTCGCTGGAGGATGGGAGGGCTGTGTCACGGCGGAAGAAGCATTGCGATCAGCTTGCTTTTTCTTGCGGCAGTACTTCAACGTGTGTCCAGAACGTTTGCAGTACGTGCAGAAATAATTTGGGGGAGAACCGGAGGGCTGCGCGGGAGCTGGGGAGGGCTGAACTCCTGGCGTCGACGGAGAGGGTTGAAGGGCACAAATGGGCTGTGGAGCCGGAACCAAAGAAGACGGTTTAACGAAGGCGAAGGCTTTCTGTGCGAGAAGCGACATCGTGGCAGCTGTAGCAGGATGCATGTGCGCGATGGGGACCATGACGAGTCGAACTTCCGGGTCGAGAAAACCGTTGGCGAATTGTTGAAGAAGATTGTGCTCTTGAAATACGACAGTTTCAGATTTGTAGAGTAAGAGTTCGTCAACATAACGTTGCGTCCGAAGAGTATAATCAGTGATCGATTCGTTGACGCCTTGACAGAGATTGGTCACTTGGTGTTGGAGTTTGGCGATGTGAGCCGCGGGAGGAAATTGCTGCGTGATGAAAAGACAGAATTCCGACCAAGGAAGAAGAAACCATTCGTCGAGAGGACGATCGTGAGACATGCGTTGAAGAACAGAGTCATCAAGAAATGTCGTTGTATAGTAAACCCAGAGGTGGCCGGGAATGCGTTGAACAGACAGAGCGCGTCCCATCTGAGAGAGCCAGCTGTGAATGCTTCGAGAATCAGCCTGACCGAGAAAGGGGGTGATGGACGTTCTGGGCTGAAATTTCGGGAGTTTGTCACCAGGGAAAGGTTGAGAAGGACGGACGGGCGTGGGCTGAGGAATCAGCGACATGCACGCGTCACGAGAGGGATTCTGCTGCATGTTAGAAGCACGAATACCTGGCAACGGAGTCATCAGTCGCTCTGGTAAGAGAGAAACTGGAGGTGGAGCTTCGGGAATCGACGAAGGGTCTGACTCAACCGGGATGACATGCGTCTGCATCAGCCGAGGGCTGGGAGGGGAGGGAGAACTCGCCATGCGCGGAGACGGCTGCGCGCTAGACGGTGCTGGGAGGGGCTTCAAGCGCTGGATTGCTGCCACAGAGGTTGAAAGGGCGGAAACCAGACGGTCTTGAAGTTCGTAGGATTGAGCAAGTAGACGATCATTGAATTCCTGAGATTGCTCAAATTGACGATCCAGCTTGCGTTCAAGTGCTTCTTGACGTTGCTGGGCATCTGCGTTCTGTTGCAGGAGTAAAGCAAAAAGTTGACGAAGAGATGGTTCCTTGTCGTTGGTGGCAGGAGAATTTCGACCTGAAGACATCGCAGGGATGGGCTCTGCGGCAGGGGCATTCCGACCCGAAGACATCGCAGGGATGGGCTCTGCGGCAGGTGCATTCCGACCCGAAGACATCGCAGGGATGGGCTCTGCGGCAGGGGTACGCGGAGAAAAAGCACCAAAAGCGGAAGGACGGGAAGCATGCGGAGCCGGAGACTCCTGTCCGAAGATAGACGGGGCTGGTACTGGCGTGAAAAAAAATGGGCGAGCACCAGAAGCTGGATGGGAATCCTGCTGTGGTCGATCTTGCATAATTGAATCATCATCTTTCGTTGCGGAAAAAGGACGGGGGAATTGAAATTGTTGAGCTCCAACATTTGGATGGATCGAAGTTGAATCAGAGACTTGTTCCGTAGATGTTGGAATCCTTCGTTCACTGGTCTGAGCCTTACGCGATTTTCTCACTTTCAATACTGATAGTTTGCTTGCTTTCTTTGCTGAAATCATCCTTTGAGATTCTGAATCAGTGCTGGAATGTGAACCAATTCGCTACCATATGTTGTATACACAACCTTGCGTAAGACGTTGAGTTCAGATGATCTTAGGATCTCTGTTTATTAAGCACACACGCTCATCAGATCAGCAGCACCACTGCAGGAATCTGCATCGTCATCCTATTTCCCTACGCTACGTCCAAGGGGCGTCCGGTATGAGTCAGACCCTTCGTCGATTCCCGAAGCTCCACCTCCAGTTTCTCTCTTACCAGAGCGACTGATGACTCCGTTGCCAGGTATTCGTGCTTCTAACATGCAGCAGAATCCCTCTCGTGACGCGTGCATGTCGCTGATTCCTCAGCCCACGCCCGTCCGTCCTTCTCAACCTTTCCCTGGTGACAAACTCCCGAAATTTCAGCCCAGAACGTCCATCACCCCCTTTCTCGGTCAGGCTGATTCTCGAAGCATTCACAGCTGGCTCTCTCAGATGGGACGCGCTCTGTCTGTTCAACGCATTCCCGGCCACCTCTGGGTTTACTATACAACGACATTTCTTGATGACTCTGTTCTTCAACGCATGTCTCACGATCGTCCTCTCGACGAATGGTTTCTTCTTCCTTGGTCGGAATTCTGTCTTTTCATCACGCAGCAATTTCCTCCCGCGGCTCACATCGCCAAACTCCAACACCAAGTGACCAATCTCTGTCAAGGCGTCAACGAATCGATCACTGATTATACTCTTCGGACGCAACGTTATGTTGACGAACTCTTACTCTACAAATCTGAAACTGTCGTATTTCAAGAGCACAATCTTCTTCAACAATTCGCCAACGGTTTTCTCGACCCGGAAGTTCGACTCGTCATGGTCCCCATCGCGCACATGCATCCTGCTACAGCTGCCACGATGTCGCTTCTCGCACAGAAAGCCTTCGCCTTCGTTAAACCGTCTTCTTTGGTTCCGGCTCCACAGCCCATTTGTGCCCTTCAACCCTCTCCGTCGACGCCAGGAGTTCAGCCCTCCCCAGCTCCCGCGCAGCCCTCCGGTTCTCCCCCAAATTATTTCTGCACGTACTGCAAACGTTCTGGACACACGTTGAAGTACTGCCGCAAGAAAAAGCAAGCTGATCGCAATGCTTCTTCCGCCGTGACACAGCCCTCCCATCCTCCAGCGAGTCAAGCCGCCATCGTCAATGCCATCACGGCTCTCCTTCAGAATGGTGCTCCAGCTCCTAACCCGGGCTCTCCCGTCACGCATTCCCCTGCAGTCGCATCCGCTTCTGCTCCTCCTGGGACAGTCTCTTTGTCCTCGTCAGCAAGAGCTCAGCCTCCTGCTGATCCTCCGCCTCAGGAATAGGGTACCGCAGGTCATGCTCTCGGTTATTGCAGTTCGACGATGAGCATGATTTCTTCTTATACGGAGCCCCAGCTTTGTTCTCATTTTATCTTCTCAGCTGAAACTCCGTCCCCTTCCGTTCTGCACAATTCAGCATCGCTGGTCACCGATCTCATCAAATTTCCCGTGACTTGTTCATCTATTTCTCCTGATGCTGACCCTTATCATTTTACAGCTCTTCTCGATGGCGGTGCTGCTGTCGATGTTATTTCGACCGCCCTCCTCGATCGTTTGCATATTCCCTTATCAGCTATTGACAGCTCTATTCGTATCCCTGTATGCGTCGCCAATGGAGTTCACTTACAGACTCTCGGCATTATTTCTCTTACTTATTCAATTGGCAAACACTCCTTTACCGATAATTTCAATGTGCTGCCTTCTACATTATCTACATGCATTTTTTCCCTGACGTGGCAAACTCGATATGGACTTGTTTTTCGTGCCCGAACCCGTGAAGTATGGATTGAATCTTCCCACAAGCAACAACTCGTGCGTCTTCCGACATGTGAAATGGTTCCGCTTCATTCTCTTACAGCTCCCCAATCCTTTGCGCAAGTTACTTTCCTGTCATTGACCGATGTTTTTGCTTCTCAACAACAAGACAACGATGAGGACGATTGGTTTCTTTGCGTTCTCCAAGTTGATTCATCCTCCACGCCACCGTCAGCCAGTTCTTTCTCTCCGGCTCGTTCTTCTGATGTGTCCCCAGAGGAGCAAGCAATTTCTTTACTTTTGGACGAATTTTCTGATGTCATTACCGATGATCTGCCCGCCAATTATAACATTTCTCGTGAATTTCAGGCCACCATTGACATTTTACCTGATGCTAAACCTGTCAGTCTACGACCCTATCGGCTCCCGCTTTTCCTCGAACAAGAACTTCAAAAGACGTTGGAATATTTGTTATCTCGCAACATCATCGAACCTTCCAACAGCCCCTTTGGCTTGCGTAAGACGTTGAGTTCAGATGATCTTAGGATCTCTGTTTATTAAGCACACACGCTCATCAGATCAGCAGCACCACTGCAGGAATCTGCATCGTCATCCTATTTCCCTACGCTACGTCCAAGGGGCGTCCGGTATGAGTCCAGAATACAACAATGAGCATGAGCATGAGCGATATTGTGAGACAAAGTCTAATACTTGATGTACAAGCAAAAGCTGATAACTTCAACAGATGCTGGCGGACGTCGTGACTCTACAAGGCAGCGATCATGAGCTATCGGCCGTTTCGCCTCCACCCCTGGATCCCGCTTCGTCTGAACCATATTTCTCTCAAGCACCAACCGTAGAAAAATCCGTGGAAGAGGAGCCGGCCCTGAGTGTTTTCCTCGACAGCATTCAATTTGAAAATGGGTTCGGTGTGGTCAAGATCTCTTCGAAGATTCCTGCAGAAACTGCCAAGATTATCAGCACCAGGATGTTCCTCGTGGATGCTGTCAGCTTTGTCTCTGCTACTGCTGGCCCGACGTTCAGTTGTGGTCTGAGTGGTTTAGATCTTCTCTTGAAGTACTTGTCCTCGCTGATGGGCGTTGGGATGAAACAGGGCAGCTTGTATCTAGTTTTTCTCCCTGAGCACATCGTCTATGCGTTTCAGATAGCTGCATTCTTCGTTTCGTATCATGCAATGAGGATCCAAGACATGGACACGTACTATAAGGCGACTGGTCTCAACGTGACATGTTTCATCTTGATGTTTCTCGTCCTTTTCAACAAGCGGCCTCCATTACAGTTGTGTCGTCGAGCACCACGATCTAGAGAGCCTTCCAAACTTGTGCAGTATGCAGATTTATTCTATCACGTCGTGATGATGGTTCTCATCTTCATCGCCTTAATCACTTCAGGAGTTTGTACACACTGCGATGGGTCGTACTCGCCCAGTTTGTCGCATTTGTGTCAATACAATGCTCGCAGTCAAGGTTTCCATGATGATCAAAATGTCAACACTCGTGTCAGTCTGTCGTCCTGTACATATGTTTGTGATAGTGACAGGAAGGACGCCTGCATTGGAGGTGTCATTACGAATCTGCTTGTTATTATCATGTGAGATGTGCATGCTTTCGTCAAAAGCAACTGAAACGACTTTTGCAGGGTATTTGTGCGTATCTTCATGGGAGTTTTGGCATTTCTATTTGAGCTTCGAAAAGAAGGGAGGAAATCTAGTGCCGCTTTCCCGAGTTCTCTCGTGACTCTGCATGGACCATCCTCCCATGGATTTCCTTTTCGAGTTTGTGTCTCAGAAGAGAGCGTGGAAGTCATCATGTCGCAGATCAAGAAGACGAGAGACCCCAAGAAGATTCAAACAGGCTTCGAGCTCTTTAGCCCGTTGACGTCCTGGTGTTGGATGGCTCTCTTTGGAAAGGTCAATGTTTAATGAGGACCTAATGGCAAGAGAATGCGATGTCTTGCTGCACTTGCATGTCTCTTCTCTAACCTCGTCTTTGAGGAAGTAAGCAACAGAACAGAAGGACCACAAAGATAGAGAGTAGCATGAAATTTGATGAATAGAATTACAACGCCGAGAGTCCCATGAGAACGAGAGGTATTGCAGTCAATCACTCCTCCTCGCCTCGATCTCCTGCGAGGCATAAGTTGGACTACTACACATTCACGAGGGTTCAGACCTGCTTGAGCCCTTCAGGCTTGACTTCTATCTTGGCCGGCACAATCTGCATATCAATGAGATGCTGCACAAGAGAAGCTGCGGGTTACCGGTGCCCCTCCCTGTCCGATAGCATCATACTGCTGCTGGAACGAGCCGATGCGGATCTCTTCATCCTTATTTTTCTTCCAATCATGAAGGAGCTTGATGTAAGGATTGATATCAGACTCCTTCATCTACGAAACGAAAGAGTTAGTATACACAACTACAAGGGAAACCTCACGTTGGCGATTTCTTCTAGGAGTTGCTGTCCGGGGGACTTCCTCTCCATCTCACTTCTCAAAAGTTTGTGCTTCTTTCGTATCTCTTTGATGTCTTTCATGACCTTTGCGCGAGAGTGTTGCAGACTGGTGAAGTTCCCCAGACATCTCCCGTCTGGTCCGATAACAGGTTCGATGTCTTCGATTCGCCCCCCAGCCTCTTCCACCTTCTTGATGATGTTCTCCGGTGACAGCGCTTTGATCAGTTCCTCTGCCCTATCGACGAACTGCATGGACTGGTCAAGGAGTTCCGGGTTCGGCTCGTCATCCTTCAGGATACCATTGCTGTCTTCGTCGGGATCCACGTTGTCCACGTCGTTGTGAATCACATTGGACCTGAGTTTCGGTTCGCCCTGCCTAGGGAACATCTCTTCCTCTTGTTCCTGGAACTGTGCGTCCAGCTTATCGATGAGCTCTCTGACCTGGTCCAGTATTTCATCCTCCTTTCCTGCATCTCTCTGTGTGGTATCAAGATGCTCTATCGAGCCTCCTCGAAGCCGCCGGTGCAAACAATGGTTCAGTCCTTGCGCCGATGTCCTTCCTCGAGTTGCTACTTCTGCTCTCCCAACTGATTCTAAGCACCGTGATCCACCCGCTCCTGTAGTTCCTGTCGCCGCCATCGTCATCGCCGCCATCGCCATAAGCAGCCGCAGCCGCAGCATGTTCGTGCTGATGAGCAGAGGGATCACAGGTTGATAACTTGAATATAGGCTGATAGCCAACCAAATAGCCATAAACATGGTTATTTTAACACAAACATCGTATTCATGTAACTTTAATACTAAAATGAATAGTTTAGTATTAAAGTGAAGCAATTTAAGGCAAAGGCCTGCCAGTAAAGGGCGGTATGTTGGGATCGGTGGAGCAAGGGATCGCCAAGATGGCGGGACTAGAGCGGAGCTGGAGGAAACGATGGGAGCGCGCCAAGGCTCCTCTCGCAGCCATGCTGAGCCTACGAGCGGAGATGCTGGCGGAGATACGAGAGGAGATGGAGCGAAGGGAAGAAGATGTCCTGGTGGGTTGCTTCCACGAAGAAGAGAGATGGGATCAAGGTATCGGAGAGAAGGAAAGAGGCAGGACTGACCCAGATCTCGGGATCGAAGGAGCAGATCGGTCATTTGAGGAGGAAGCCAGAGACATGGTCGATCAGCTGCTTGCTCAGAAGAAAGTCTACGAAGACACTGCTGAGCGCCTTGGAATCGATGCGCAACCTGATGGTCAGTCAGCAACGGGAAAGGACAGCGACCTTGTATGGAGACCGACGGATGAGCGATGCCGCATGATGCGCAAGAAGGAGATGCATCCCTTCGCTCCATCTCCTCCAGCCGCAGGTCACACGGACGCATATGGCGGTACCGCTGGTGCTGAAGATGAAGGGGTGGCGCCAAATCAAGACAAGGAGGCCATGACGCCACAACTGTCATGCTCCTTGTGCCCTCCCCCTGGATCGTCTCGAACGAGGGAGAGGATACGACAGAAGCTCTTGGACCTCGATGAAAGTTTGCGATCAACCCGGCGAGAAATCGACATGGAGCAGGGCGAGCTGGTCGGATGCTGTTGTCTCTCCCTCCTGCCCTCTGATCGCCATACCGTAGCTCGCTCCTTCCAACACGTCCCCCAGCTTCTTGAGAGGACGCGCGAATTCACGATCAAGCGCTGCAGGTAAGTCCGAGCACTCGATGCTGGTGCGGAATGAGGAGAGCGTTCGGTGAGCTCGCTTGCTGGGAACTTGGAGGGGCTTGACGACTTGGTAGTAGGAGTGTTTGTGCGGATGAGGAGGGAGAAGAAGGTCGAGAGAGAGCGAGCTCTGCCCTAGCTCATGTGTCTGCAGATCTCTTGCTGGACATGGAGAAGACTCTGTCGGAGTACTGCGATGTTAGTCCCCTTGCTCCCTCCCCGGCTTGTTGTGATGTAGCAGCAGGAGATGTCTGGGTTGCGAGGACGCGTGCAGTCGCTGTTGGTAGAGAGGAGAAGCTTCCTAGGCCTCTCCGACGTTCTTCGTGACAAGAACAGACAGCTCGAGCTCGAGCGGCGGCGCTTGCAGGTTTCGCTTCCTTGATCCCCCGCCTGCCTGACTTGTTGCCTGCACGGGCTACAGTCGATGCTCGATGGCGAGCGGAGCAAGGTGCAAGCAGCAGCTGACAGGCAGTCGAGTGTCAGAGAAGCTGAGGAGGAGCTGGGGGAGTCGCGGAAGCTCAAGGTGTTGTGTCGCTTGTCCTCGGCTGCTGCGCTCACTGCATGTTCAGCTGCTGCTCGCGAGGCGAATCGCTGGCGTCATCGACCTTCTGCAAGGAGCGAACCCAAGCCGAAGGATGCGCGACGTGAGGATGGGGCGAGACGCGAGAGATGAAGGGAGGGGGTGGAGGAGGGGGAGAGGGGCGATAGGAGGGAAGGGCTGATGGGATGAGGAGGGGTGGGAGGGTGGGAGAGACAAGGCTGGAGGGGAGGGGAGGGGAGGGATGGCAAGTTGAATGATTGAGGAGCAGGCGATCGCAGAGCTGCAGGGCATCTCGTTGATGTTGAGCGGGAAGGGCGAGCAGAGGAGGAGGCGGCGGGAACATGCAACAAGCTGTAAAGACAGCAAATAATACATGACAGGACAAGTGAAATATACAGGGGAAGTTAGGTGAAGTCCTCGGATCCAAGGTTCTCGCTGTCGCTCTCCGAGAAGTAGTTGCTGCTGTCCTCGTCGTTGGTCGGGATATTCCTGCCGCCACCTCTCACTGTCCTTCCCTGCTCCCTCCTCTTCTTCCCCCTCCCCCTCCCCCTCCCCTCCTCGCTCAATCTTCCAATCCTCCCTCCTCTTGTCTTACCCTCCCCTGCCAAGATGCTCCATGGCGACTTCGAGCTGTCGCACTTGTCAGCATGGTGCGGATAGGCGAGGAAGGTACCTGTGAGCATGCGAGCTTCAGCACGCGCTCGATGCCCTGCGCCATCCTCTGCTCTAGCAGCTCCAGCACCAACTTCGTGTCCTGTAGGACCATGAGCCTCTTCATCCTCCTCCTCCTCCTCCTCTTACGCCGTGATCTCCGTTGTCGGACACAAACCAAAGGAAGGAAGCAGCGATGCCGATGACGAGCGAGCTGTTGAGGAGCGCGGCAGTGATGGAGGCGTCGGTGAAGGCCAGGAAGCCAAGGAAGAGAAAGGTTTCCGTCTGCGACAGGCGTGAGGAGGGAGGAAGGTGAGGGCTGCGCTACCCCGATGAAGAGGACCGTCTCCAGGATCGCCTCGCACAGGATTGCGTAAGTCGTCAGGTTGACTTGCCGCAGTGAAAGTTTGAGATGACTGGAGATAAGCAACTCGACCACATGCATGGGGAGGATGTGAATGTTCTGCGAGGCTGCTTCAGTACCCGCTCTTCTCCTCCTCCTCCCTTCCTCCCTTTTCTTCCTTTCCTTCTCTTCCCCTCTCACTTTTCTCCTCTCATCTTCTCTCACCTTGGCTCTGAAGGAGGAGATTCGCTCTGCCACTAGCCGCTTGGCTTTCACTCGCAGGCGGATCTTCTTGGAGACCGACGCCCACGCGACGAGGACGATGCAGGCCATGAAGATGGCGTAGGGAAGGATGCGAGGAACGTCGATGAGGAGGCCGTAAAGGATCCAGAGGCAGCAGATGAAGACGAGGGCGAGAGTGACGAAGAGAGCAGCCGCGTAGAGGCAGTAGAAGAGGAAGCGAAGGGCCAGTCTCACCCTCACCTCCACTGACTCTGACGCGCTGGCGCCTCCAGCGATAGGAGGAGGGCTGATGTAGTGGGTAGCGAGCTCCAGAGAGGCGACGAGGCTGTAGAGGAAGCAGAAGATGAAGGTGGCGAAGGAGATGGGCTCTCGCTCGGCGATGCAGACCTCGTAATCCTTGCGGTATTCGCACTTGACGCTGAGGACGGAGGCCTTGACGTTCCACCCGAAGTAGATGACGAAGACAATGGGAGCCGCTGAGCAGGGAGGAGAGAAGGCGGCAGGAGAGAAGACGAGAGGGGAGGGGAGGGGACGGGATCAGCAGGGGATGGGAAAGAAGAGAGGAGGAGGAGGAGGAGGAGGAGGAGGAGGGAAGGAGAGGAAAAGAGGTGGTGGTGGAGGAGGAGGGGAGGAGGGGAGGAGAGGAAAAGGGGTGGTGGAGGAGGAGGAGGGGAGGAGGGGAGGAGGAAGGGAGGTATCAGCCAACATTCGCAAGAGTGGAGGAGGTACCGATGAAGGTGATGTCTCTCATTAGCCGAACCCACTCGCCGAAGAGGCTGAGTTGCTGCCCTTCCTCCATGCTCCACTCGCTCACAAAGTAGAAGAAGTTAGTCCTGCTGATCATCTCCGGCCTCTTCGAGAGTTTCGCCTGCAAGATATCAGCAAGGAGGGGGGAGGAAGAGAAAGCGCAGATGACGACGATGATGGTGGAGATAACGACGACGATGATGATGATGACGATGTAGATGATGATGATGATGATGATGATGATGATGATGATGATGATGATTGAGATGGCGATGGCCGATGATGACGCATTTGTAGCAGCAGCAGCAAGGAGATGCGGTAGCAGCTCTCACCAGGTCTAGTCCTTCCTTATGCTCGGCGCTTTTCGTCTTGTCATTTTCCAGGTATTGTCCGATCACTTCCGCCAAGTTCTGCTCTCCCGTCAGCTCTTCCCCCCCCCCCCTCCCCTTCCCAAATCCCCTCCTTCCCTC